AATGTATACAACCTCAAATGGCTTTGTTTCCGCATAGCAGAGAAAGTATTGATCAATCAGTTTGTTAAAAATATATAGTAAAATTGAGGATATGCACTGATTAATGTACGATGTGAAAACACGATTCCTAAATATTTTCACGATAGAAAAAAAACACAAAATTACTTCGACATTTTACAAAACAACCCTTGTATTCAATATGTACTTTACATATACCTACTAATGATTATTTTTTTATATCATCAACTGAACTAAATAGAACAGGTATACTACACGATATTCAAATGGCGTTATTTTCGTTTGTAATAAAAGAAATTCTGAAATAAAGACAGTGTGTGTTAATATGGGAAAAATCTGAATTCGAGATAAGGTATTATCGGCTCTTTGGCCTTTCTTAACAATAATTTTAATTTGTGTGTATAACCAAAGCGTTCTTATTTATAGAATTGCGGAGCTATATCGGAAGGCGGTTGTACGTGGCGACAAACATCTGTAGTCCCATCAGCAATGGAAGCTGTTGAACCTGAAGTGACAGTAACTGACCCTTCAGTTAGGTCACACCGAGTTTTCTGTCCAGAAGGTCATTTTGGCAACGTGCCACACCCAGAAAAGTGTGGTTCTTATATCATGTGCGCTGAAGATCTGGAGCTACAGCTGTTCTGTTCTATTGATTCTGAATATGACCCCACACGCGATGTGAGTACCGACCGTGGAAAATATTGGGCATTCAAAGTGCGACACGAATGGCCTACGCGGACGTCCGGTCCGTCGCGGATGGTAAAATGTATTATGCCTATACAGCACATTCAGTGCGACGCGCACTGGTTCTTACGTAGTCATTCAGTGCATGGTAGACCTGTGTTAGTCGATCATTTTTGATAACCCGGGTCGATCATGACCCACGCGTAGTGTGATCGGGTCAAATGATTCGATCATATGTTCGATATTTTACGGGGTCACCCGTCCCTCATGATACTTCCATATAGCGTTTAAAAGTGTCACATTATACAATTAGCTTTTGGACTTTCCTTCTGATGGGTAATGTGTCTATAGTTAAATGCATCATTTATAAACCACACTTAGGACACTAAAATTTATTTTTAGATTTTACTTGACTTGACTTGACTTAAATAAACACAAGATACCGAAAAACAGATTAAACTTATAAAAATACCATGTAATGGCCACTGCGCCACGGAGCTATTAGAATGAATGAAGAATTGGTAGACTCATTGATGCGTTAACACGTTGACTCATTGATTGATTGCTTGACTTTTTGGATCGATCGAACGAAAGTTCTATCGAACAAATGTTCGACACAAACGAAGAGTGAGAAGGCGAACCGTGTCGTGAGTGGGGACTTCACGTGAGAGTGAACGAGACAACAATAATATTGTAATTGTTGAATAATCTCTTAAAAAAATGCACAAATAAGAAAGATAATAGTATCAATCTAATTTAGTGCATGGCGTCGTCGTTGTGTCAAACCAAGAGGGTTATTCAAAAGGTACGACTTCGACAATGTCTATGGAATCTCCGCGACGATTATTACAAAAATAATTATGAATTTCATCTTCCTGCAACTCCGAAAACAAAGATACAAATTTTCCTTTAAAAAGTCTATTCGTAACGATTGGGTGCACATTAAACCTGCTTTTAACCTGACGCCGTTTTTTACTGAATCAGTAGGCGGCAATGACCACTTTCAAATTTTTATCCATATCTGTACCACGACCGCTCACGATCCGCGAGGAATTGAACGACAATCCATCCGCGACTTCATCCGGTCATCCGCGCGCGGACGGTCCGCTTCGCACTGTGAAGACCCTTATAGTCACTAGCTGTATTGTAAATGCCGCAAAACATATGCAAAAGAACGTCCTTATCGGCTGTGATAGTACATTATTGCAGAGGCCGGGAACTAAGGGATTGCTGGAAGATAATGAGAGCGCTCGGCCTTGTATTAATAGCAGTAAAGCAATCCCCGTTCCCGCCGAAGCTTATAAATAGTGCTTTTCTCAAACAATGCGTAAGAAGATGTATAAAAGAAATAGTCAAAAAAATGTTAATTAAAATTATAAGCAATATTTACAATAAAGAGTTCTTAGGTTTTCGCGATTGTTACACATACGAAATGAAACTGTTTTTCCGGATTGAAATAGCGTATATTTGTTTTTTCAAACAAACTGACGTTTCGGGCCCTTTACAGGTCACATGAACAAAGTTGGTCAACGGTTAAATCCGGTAAAATAGTTTCATTTCCTAATATTTAACATAGTTTTACCAAGTACATTTAACTGTAGTCTGATGAAATTTCAACAATGTGGTTAAAGGTATATCCATTACTGCGTTTTCACTCTTCACAATAAAACTTATTTTCGCGACAACATAGAAAAAAGGCAAAAAAAAACAGAAAAGAGCGAACGAAAGAAATTTAGTTTATTTTACCGCCTTTTTTTAAAAAAAAGACGGTACTGGTAGGTATTTTTTAAAAAAAAAGGTATTTTTTATTCTCGCTATTACGAACACTTGGCCGACTGGCTGTATGAGTTTTTCTTTTGCTTGTTTATAAAGTTTACAGAATTGGATGGATATAATAAAATAAGAATATTATAAAATCAAAATTGTGGGACAATTTTACGAAAATAAGAAGAATTGCTACGAATTGCAAGGAATTCATTTAGCTTTTAACAAAATTGCACGATTTGGCCTTTAGACCCCTTGAACAACTATGAACCGAAAAATAATCTAAATAGTCACAAACTTAAAATTTTGAATAGATTTCTAGTGAAAATCGTATAATATGATTATCGATATGATTAGACCACATCACTATTCGCGTCACGGTGGCGGTGACAAGTGTCAAATTTGGCCTTTTATTTGGTGACGACTTTAGGCTATCAAAGCGCAGGTATTTCCCATTTTGTATGAGAGTAATGTATCTGTTACGTAGTAACTATTAAGTAATCTGTGGTACTGCCTTTTTTCCTATTTCTGCCGCCAAGCAGTAATATGAGTATTAAAGCTTTGAGTGTCACTGCAACTGCTATGGACAGGTGTATCGCTTATCACCAGGCGCACGATTTGCTCGTCCCGATACTTGATGTCATAAAAAAAGATAATATAGTTAGGTGTATTTAATTCTTATATGTAGCCACATATATGTCTCGTTGTTTGGCACGAGTTTTATTTGACATTGCTGTTTTTTTTCAGAGTTGCGTGTCTGTTAAAGAAGGCGGATGCACATTATCGGCGAACGGAAATTAAAAGCTGAAAGAACAGAAGCCTAACGACAGTGCCGTACGTCGGCTTCTACAGTCAAAAATCGTAATTCTTTGGGTTTTGTTTCGGGCGCGTGTAGGTATTTTCTTGCTTTTAAGTACAAAGTTGAATAAATTATGGCAACATTATAATATTTGAAGTTATTTAATGCCACTTATGACAACTAGAGGCGCTGAAATACTGCTTATTTTTAAAAATGTAAAAACGCGTTTTTTTAAAAAAGCGTGCTTTTTTCTTGGAGGATGGAAAAAAATTGGTTTCCATAGGCTTTTCTAAACATTTTTTAGTTTGAAGCTTACAAAATCGTTTAAAAAAGCGTTTAGAAGTTTAAAATCTCACGAGTGTTGTAATGCCTGATTATGTACAGTTACATACACTGCTTTATCTACACACATATTATAAGCTCTCTGTGATGTGTTCAGGAACCGCATGTTACGACTGGCGAAATGGCGGCAAATAAAAACTTTTCTCACGCATGTGGCCCAACCGTAGTTTTCAGTTTTAATTTTTCATGCCCTTATGAGCTCAATGTTGTTATAAAAAAATATATTGTTTTTCTGGCGTTGTGGACAATGACGAAATATTAAATATTCGTAATCTACACAATACGGGTATTTCAAATAAAAATATTTATAAATTGATCTTTGTTTAAATTAAACTTAAAATCAATTTATTAAATATGTAATATAAAATCTCTACTTAAGTGTTTTATTAAAGGCGAATTACCGCAGATGAAGAGGGAAAAACTGTTTTGCTACATCAAATAGTTTAAGTATTTACTATTAAATAACGATCTTAAAAAGAAAAAATATACGATACGCCTAAGGATCTTGTCTAAAGAATGTGCTAATTTGTTACAAGATAGGATGTATTTTATTCGATCTATAAAATCTTCAAAACAGAGAACCAACTATATTTTGGTTTTCAACTGAATCCCTAAATTTGAAAATTGTCCAGCGGTTTCACGACACACCGCGCTGCCGCTGCCCCGTCAGTCGCCATCTGGCGCTTATCGACGACGGATCTGTGTCAAATGTTCTTAGCCTGTTCATATTTTAGATATTCATATTAATTGTCAGCGCCCGGGTTGCGGAACGCGAGCGGCGGCTCCTCCAAATTTTTACCTTAATTACCGATCACTTATCTTCAAATAAAAAAAATTAAGACAAATGTGGTAACTTCATAGACAATAATTACAAAAACATTCATCACAGAAAATGACTTCAAAGTTAGTATTATCAATAGCCTGCTGGTTTGGTAAGCTCTGAATCGAGTATTTAATTTAGTGCGAATATTCACGGAAGATAGTGGCCTACAAAGAACGCAAGGTTGGCTTGCGCGGAGTTTACGCGAAGCGTCTTCCGTACGGAACAATCCGAGTCACTGTAAAACGATGTTTTAACGCCACACGTGATACTCCGCCAAGGTGTTTCGCGCGGATGGTCCGCAGATAAATATTCTGTACACAGAACTATAATGAGTAATAGTTCTGTGTACAGAATTAGTAAAAAAAAATCCGTAAAAAAAATCTGTAAAATTCACCACAGTTAATGAATTTTTTCAATTAAGCAGTTTTAACGAGTACAATAGACAATAGAATTTTGATTCTGAACTAAAAAGAGCGCCTTTGTGTTTATGGTTACAATAGTTTATGTGACTGTTACATGAAGAAATGAAGGTTTATGAAACGAGTAGAAAAAAATGTTTTGTTTTATACATCTCTTTAATGATCATAATATCATCACTAATCGTCATCATCATCATCGTTGTCATCATCACTACTTTCTTCCTTTCTTAACTTCGCTTCTAATTCCTTCGCTGGATTGAACATTCCGCTAGTTTGCGCGTTGCAAATAAAGCAACGCGTTGTTTTCTTATAGTTTGCTAGTGCACATTTCTCGCAGAAATAATGCTTACATCTGGAACCAATGAAATAAAAATATTTAGACACTGATGAAGTATACAGTCAATTGGAGTAAGAGGAACGCCGGGGTCTTGAAACCTTAATTCACAATCTAACAAATTAAGTGTTTTTTTTAAATTAAATGTCAGGATGTTTCCACCATGATGTTCAATTTTTTTAGTGAAATTACACCACTAGTTTGTCATAATTTATTAATACAAAAAACGACACGGTTATCAAACACGGTTTGGTAGAAGACATCGGTTCGAATCCGACCGGATCGAAGGAATTTTTTCTGAGTGTTCGATCTTTGTATTAATAATTATAACGAACTAGTGGAGAAATTTCTCAAAAAACAATTATATAACATATTGACGGTCAACTGGGTGACGAAATACTTTAATCGATTTCTCATAGATGGCGCTACGACTATAAAACGTCGTAAAAACCAGACAACAAGCACATAGAAAAATTCGTGAGGTCCACTGGTTCGTTCCGTGGCTTCAGTTTGCTAGAAGACGTCGGTCCGAATCCGGCCGGTACGAAGGAATTTTTTCTAAATGTTCGATCTTTGTATTAATATTACTACAATCTAATTGTTTAGCACTATAGTGTTTCAGTTTATAAAACAGGCAAACAAATTTGTTTAAACTATTTTAAAGAGATGTGGCTACTATGCCCCAAATCCATAAAGCTCTTAAAAATGGAAGTAAACTAATTTGCTAATATTTTTTCATACAGTTAATTATTCCACACAAGCGCAACTATTTGACACGATTTAACCTTCACTAGTAAAAGAAAGTAGCAAATTAATCTACTTTCATTCCTATTAAACATGTACTTCCGCAAAATAACGCCTGAATCTATTAATCGCATAAAACTCAGAAGTGGTCGCATTGAAATTTCAAGTTTCTGCAGTGCCTCAGCCATGTTCACTGACGCGCAAGTAGACAGTTTCACGGCTGTTGTACGTAAAAAGTCGGCATCGCTAATGAAGAGAATACGTGACAGCCCCAATAGCCCCTGAAAACAGTTGCTGACAGAAATGCGTGCCCAATTACGCAGCACTTAATAAATAATACAAAGAGCCTGGTAAAATATAAGAACTAATATAGTTTTACGTCTGTACCTACTAACATTTGATTGGATCTCAGTTGTCTCAATAAACAGAATAGAATATAATAGAGTGGACATTTATTACAACGCCACAACGTACACAAAAAAAATACAATAAAAAAATAACATTAAATAAAACAAATCTAACAAAAACAAATTATAACGACTACAAATTTTGTACTGTCATTTGTGCGGTTGTGGCGTACGCAAAAGGACTTCATTCAGCATAAGCCACAGCAATGATTGACTGTGGCGTTGGTTTTCAACCAGCCCTGAGCCGAGATGAGTATAAATAAATTTATAATATAAATAAATTTATTATTATTATAAAATAAAAGTCTAAAACGAATTGTTTAAGATTAAAATATCTAACTTTACACATAACTTTTATATGGAGTTTTTTTTTAAGTACAACAGAGAACCTGCTACATTTTGGCCCTATTTATCAAATTCACATTAATATCAAAATTTGAAAATTGCCCAGTGGTTGAACGAAACGACACGCCGCGCCCCGTCTGTCGCCATCGGCCGGTTGTCGACGACGGATCATGTTAATTTTCAGCGCGTGGGATACGGGACGCGAGGGGCGACCCCCAACACTTTACCTCCTAAAATGTGGGCTTATGTTGAAATACTTCGCCTTAAAGAATAAATGTTATTTACAGATAACTGTTACTAAACAACCGACCCCAAAATTTTGCTTATCGGCTTTCTTTTTCCGATTTCCATGGGATCCCCTCATCAGACTTTGACTTCTTGGTGACAATGGGACTGTTGCGGACTCCTTTGTACATTTTATACTTTTATCTGGTTGTCATGGCGATGGTGATTTGTTGCGGAAAATAATTAGAAATTTGTGTAGGCCGAAAGGAACCCGGAACAGTTTCGTCGGTAATTATCGAAATCGGTGCACAATTGACGGAGAAATCAGTAAATACACTGACATGTCTATAAAATTTGAGAATTTTCCTCAATTTCCATGGATCTCCTCAACAGATTCTGACTTGGTGACAATGGGACCACTACGAGAGTGCACTCTTTCAAACAAAAATGAATTTTCAAAATCCGTCCACAATTGACGGAGAAAGCGGAAAACACACAAAAAACATATATACACACACATCAAAAAAAGTTTGCGATCAATAGCATAAGCTCCTATAATTCTTTAAATTTAACTTTATCAAGAAAAAATCTATGTTGTATGCTTTCTTTAAATAGGAATACCCTGTTTGAAACTAAAATATAAAACTATTTTTTATTATTTATTTTAAAAAATTGAGCCATTAATCATAATGTAATAGTGATAGAAATTTCATAGAAAGAAAAAGACTGTTTAATTAAACTTAAACAACAATTTATTATTAAAAGGTGTGAATTCAATATAAAATAACTCCTCCCCTGGCTCGAATACATGCGAAGATCCTCCTGGGCATGCTGAGGATCAAGTTATCCAGCATTTCCTGGGGTAACCTATCCCATTCTTCAATAGCGGCTTCCCTGAGCTCTGGAACTGTCTGGGGACGTGGCTCACGGTTCCATACTGCTCGTTTAAGAGCATCCCACGCGTGCTCTATTGGGTTTAAGTCGGGCGAGCCGGCAGGCCAGTCTAATCGTGTGATATCGTATTCTTGAAGAGCAGCATTGACTCGTCGAGCTCGATGTGCGGGCGCATTATCATCGACCAGTACAAATTGGTGCCCATGGTTTACTCGGAATGGTCTGACGATATCATCAATAGCAACTGCTTTGTACATGTCTGCTGTCATGAAGCCCCGATACGGGATCAAAGGCGTTCTAGCTCCAATCATAATGCCACCCCAAAAGGACACCGATTTTCCGCCTTGCTGAACTGTTCCAGTGGCAGTCCTTTGTCTTTCACGGTCGCCTGGTCTTCTCCAGATACGGACACGTCGGTTATCTGGATGAGTGCTGATTCGGGATTCGTCAACGAAGAGACAGTTTTGCCAAATATTTTCGTCCTCACCTTCTTCATTTTGCCGAAGTCTAGCCCACTGCAATCTTCGTTGTTGACGTTGCCGGGAATTGAGCGGAGCTCGCCAAGACCTCCGTGCTCGTAATCCAGCCTGGTGCAAGCAATTGCGAACGGTCTGCGTGCTAACTTCAAGCCCAGAGGCGGCCCTGACTTCTGCTTTTATTTTAGTGGCGTTGATTGTTGGATCACGGGCTGCCAGCAATCTAATATAGCGCTTTTGGGCAGCTGTCAAAACAGTTGGGCGACCGCTGCGGGGTCGGTCAGCTAAATTCCCCATTCCGTGATACCTCTGCAACGTAGCCACGACACAGGATTGGGATATAGCAAGTCTACGTGCTATTATCTCTCGTGGTGTATCCTTCTTCCCTCAAAGTTACTATTCTAGCTCGTAAAACCTCTAATAATCCTCTTGGCATTTTTTCAATCACAACTTTCCGCGAAAAATATCTTGAATCGCTTATAATTGACTAAATCAGATTTCTGAATGAGCGTAAGCTAGGACTGAAAGCCTTTTTATATGAAAAAACAATTGAACGGGGTCATTGTTTTATGTTCTAATTTATTTTTAAATAAAGAATCTAAAAAGAAGAAAAAATCATAATATAATCTACAGTAACAAAAAAGATTTCAGTTTTTCGAAGTGATCGCAAACTTTTTTTGATGTGTGTACAGCCGAACGTAAACTTCCTCCTTTTTTTTGAAGTCGATTAAAAAGGGAAATACTTTTACAGCACTACACAGTTCACAGGGAAAACAATAAAAATAATTTTGACCGCTGAGAATTCCACTGTGAGTTCTGAAGAATGCCAATTTGTCCTAAATTGTTTCTGTCGGTAATCGAACCCGGCACAAAATCATTATACTCACTTAGTGACGACCGGGTCGGTGAAAGCGTTCCGGCAAATGAAACATCGGAACGGCAACTCGTCGTCGCTATTTATCTCGTAGTCGCTGTCGGAGCCACCCCCTGCCCCTGCCCCACTAGCCTTCTCCGCTTCCTCCCTTTCCAGTTGCCACCCGTGTTTGTAGTCCGATCTGTCGTGAAGAAATTTGCAGGAATCTGAAAGAAAATGGCCACGTTAACTTATATTACACAAATGCTGACGTTACTATTTGGCGGCAGAAATAGTTAAGGTGGCAGTTCTTCCTTGGATGAATTAGTAGCAGTAGAGGTCCTTGAGAAGAGGTGACGGGCGCAGTGGCAATGCCCCTCCGATCTTTGCGATTTAAAGCTCTGAGTGGCACTGCAACCGTTACAGATAGGAGTGTAGCTTAAATCGCAAATTAGAAAGCTGAAATAGTACAGCACCTGTGTGTACGTCTCCGTATATTTCAAAAATATTCTGTATTTAACCACAACTAATTACAAAACAAACGCAATCATATTTCATCGGTAATTAAATATGTAATTTTTCAATTAACTGGTCCATTTGAAGTGAAAGATTTGACGACATCCATCTATTGTTTCGCATTCGGGCTGGCCAATGGGAGCGCTGTTATCACCGTAGTGATTTGGATGAATAGTTTTCAAACAAATTAAATGACATTTCGTCTCTATTTCTGGTTATATATTCGATGCCACGAAGATATTAAAATCAAAAACAGTTCTTTTTCCCCAAAATGGTCCACTGGGATCAGCTCATCCAGCGCCTACTGTGAAAACCTTTGTTAGCCCAAGGGTTTGCACTGTAAGCTACAAAAAGCAAAAAAAAAACTTACCTCCAAAACCACAGAATCCAGTTTCTTTGTAATCTTTACATATGTCCGGTTGATAATCCCATCTGAAAAAAAAAAATACAAAATATTAGATTAAAGAAAAAAATAGAGAGAATAAAAAAAAGCAAGAATACAATTTTTATATTACTTTTTACTATAACGAGTGTTTAGGTTTTCGCGATTGTTACACATAGGATATAATACTATTGTTCCGGATTTAAATCGCGTTTATTTGTTTTTTCAAACAGATTAATGTTTCGGGGTCTTTACAGGTCACGGTTGACTGAGATGGCAAAGTCAATCAACCAGTACAGTTGTTGTATTTTGAAAGAGTTCGCCCAGGGAAGTACTGCCACCTTACCTATCACTGCCGCCAAGCAGTAATGTAAGCATTACTGCGTTCCGATTTTGAAAGGTAAGGGTGCTGGTGAAATTACAGGCATATGAGACTTCTCAACTTATGTCTAAGGGTGATGGGTGGCAAAGATCTTTGCGATTTAAAGCTCGGAGTGCCATTGCAACTGTTATACAATACAATACGAAATGCTTTATTTCTCTCAAAAAGGTTTACAAAATGCAGATTTGTTACATATCATGTTAAATATGAAGCACCTTAGTGAGAGCTGGAGTCTGTACTAGGTTGGGGACCTGTGTTACAGATCACCAGCCTCACACCCTTTTGACAAGTTTACCAGAAAAGTAACACTAATAAAATTTAACAAAAATAATGAAAATTAAAGAGTAAAATAAAATTGATAGCTAATTAGAAAATAAAACAAATAGAAAAAATCTCTGTGCGTGTGTGTGTGTGTGTGTGTGTGTGTGTGTGTGTGTGTGTGTGTGTG